CCTGTGGGTTCTTTTGATTTAAAAAAAGAAGATACAGCAATATCTTTTCTCTTTAGTGATAGCTTCAAGGTATCACTTCTTATAGCCAAGCCAATCATTAGTGAGCTTTCTCTCTCTCTCTCTTTTTTTTTATATTTTATTGATTTTTTACAGAGAGAAAGGGAGAGGGATAGAGAGCTAGAAACATCGATGAGAGAGAAACATCGATGAGCTGCCTCCTGCACACCCCCTACTGGGGATGTGCCCACAACTAAGGTACATGCCCTTGACTGGAATCGAACCCAGGACCTTTGAGTCTGCAAGCTGACGCTCTATCCACTGAGCCAAACCGGCTAGGGCTAAAATTACATTTTAAGTAACACTGTTGAATTAGAAAGTCCCCTATAACCTATGCTTTCAATTATGTAAAAAAAGGGGACACATTTACGTATAAGAAAGAACGACTAAAATACCACTAAATGTTAACAGTAGTTATATCTTTGAGGTGTGGGATTATAGGTGATTTTTGTTACTACTTTATATTTTTATAAAATTTCTGATGCACCAAGTATGCATTATTTTTATAGGCTTCTCTTTTACGGTATTTTTAATGTTACTTTGCTCCAAAGTGAAACTTCCCTCTCTATAAAGCATCTTTTGCTGACCTTCTCATGTTGGTATTCCAAGCACCTATCTATGCACATAAAGCATTCAGAGTCCCCCTCCCAGTGATACTCACCACCAATATAAATTGTTTTCTAGCTGGGCACAGGTATAGAGGGCACAGCAATGTAAAGAAACTATCCGTTCACCTTGAAGTTCAGAATAAGTCTGTGCAGTGTGCTCTAATTTAGAAGCCACAGAACTTAAAGTTTCATCTACCCATGTAGCAACCTAAAGAATAAAATAGCAAAGGTTTAAATAAAAACAAGTAACCTTTTCAAAAGAACTGTGGTCAAAACTTTATATTCTATGAGCTAGAATTCTAATGTGAGAGAGACACATCAACTGGTTGCTTCCCGCTTATGTGCGGCACCCAGGTTTGTGCCCCTGACCAGAAATCGAACCTGAGAACCTTCAGTGCTCAGACCGACACTCTAACCACTACGCAACACAGACCTGGGTATAATACACAAATATTTTTAAAGATGAGTAGATGCTTATAATAGTACAGGTGTTAAGATCAGTGTACTGAGCTCCCAAACCATAAGCCAGCCCCAGAACATGGGCTATCTACAATTTAGTGATATTTCTGTTCACATATCCCTCCGACCCAAAAGTTGATAAATCCTTTACAGAAGTTCCCTCCCCAGCTCATTTGACCAGCAAATCCCTTCCAATGATCATGATGAGACAGGATGTTAGTTAGAAACTGAGATAATTAAAAGGGAGAGGGGGAGAAAGTTGACCTAACATAGTAAGGCTGAACATGTTGTTATCACTACATAACACCTTCAACAGACACACTCTAACAACAAAACAAAGACAACAAAAGAGAACCATACACACTGTCATTCTGGCAACTAATCAAGAACTATAATATATGAATGTTAACCAAGCAGCAAACAATAAATTTTACCAATTCTTTTCCAAATTCCTGAGGATTTTAACAAGAACCCATCACATTAATACTTTTCTGAGTCACTATACAGCTCTAAGTCTCCCTTAATTAGACTATTCATATACAGTGCAAAATCAAGATTAGTTAGGGTATAGTACTTACTTAGCTTCAGTAGTTTTGCTAGCTTTGTCCATACTTTTCAAGCTCTCAGGGGATCTAAGTTGAAATCTACAGCTATCATTCATATTCCAAACGGACTCCATTAAGACACCAACTTTAGGAATCCCAGCATTAATTGAAAATGCAACTGCTCCAGCATGATAAAGAGGATTATTTCTTAAGCATACCTGGCAAACAAAAGAAAAATCGCCATCAAGATGACATAGTAGAAGTTATTTCAAAAGTGTATAAAAATACAACATGTGAAAGTATATTGCTTCCTCGGTTTTCCAAATACAATTTTACAAATCAAGAGGCTGATAAAGCATTGACTTCAAGGTCTCCATTAAAAACATTTATTCCTCCAAATAAGGAGCAAGAATAATTGTAGCACATTTGCTAAAAATTTCAGGCAGCAAATATTCTGCCATAAGGAAATAATAGAAATAGTAGAGAAGAAACTAACAAGGTGATATAAAAAGTGAAATGTGAACAAAATAAGTACTTTTAAAAAAATATATTTTATTGATTTTTTACAGAGAGGAAGAGAGAGGGATAGAGAGTTAGAAACACCCATGAGAGAGATACATCGACCAGCTGCCTCCTGCACACTCCCCACTGGGGATGTGCTTGCAACCAAGGTACATGCCCTTGACCGGAATCGAACCTGGGACCTCTCAGTCCCCAGGCCGACGCTCTATCCACTGAGCAACACTGGTTAGGGCCAAACCTCTTTCTTATTTAAGAACTTGTAATTATAAACTTTTTTCCTAAGAAAATCATTAGCTCTTGAGTGCTCTTTTAAAGTTAGCAACAGAGTCTTAAGTAGATTCCCTTTACACAATGCATCCTCCTTAACTTCTCTCTCTAGGACAAGCACAACTGCTCTCACACTGAGGGGCTTTGCATAGCTTTATATTTTAAG